AGACTCCTTCTTACAATCCTAGGTCCCTTGAAGATTATTGGCCCAACATAAGGTGCTGTCTCCAAATATTATTATTATAAATTTGGACTATTTAAAGACAGGTTTGAACCGAATGCAGTGTTGACTTTTCCGCTTTTTATGAGTTAGTCTGCTCGTTTGCAAGAAATTGTTATTTAATTTTGAATTAATTTCTCGTTTGATATAATTTTTCTTAATCTTTTTTTTATCGTAACTTAATTGTCGTTTTTACGTCCTACGACCTTAAACAACATGGGTCATAAAAAGTCATTTAACAAGCATCTCTGAAAAAATAAAGCTATTTAGAATTGTTTGTTGGTACTTTTAGTTAGTAGAACAACGTCGCAGTCAGACTGGTTACCAAGGATAGATGCAGCGAATTTAAGCCTCGAGAGTAACTAAGCTGCTTACTTGAATGTCGTGGAATATGAAACGACCTGATCGTTACGATAAAAAAAAAAAGCAAGATAAATAAGATGACAAAAGGAGGTGGTAAAAATTTTTAAAAATAGTCATAATGCTTTACGTTCGGACAATTAAAATCATGATTACTTTAAAAGAAACGGTGGAAACTAGGGTAATAATTTTTTTTTATATATCTCAAATTTTTTGTTTAGCAATTCGTATATTTATTTTTTTCTTCTTTTTTTCTCTTTTTTTTTTCTTATGTTATGCTTCAGTGAGCCATTTTTCTTCTTTTCTTTTTATTCAAACGATTTGTACACCGAGATTATTTTTACTGATGATATCCTTTCCTCACGCTCCCACGTATTACCTCAACGTTTTTATTTATTTAAATATATCTTTATATTTCTTTTTATTAATTTGTCCATTGCTTTTAATTTCTTTCCTTGATTTTTCTCAATGATTTAAAAAAAAAAAATCCCTTTTCATCCTGAAGAGTTTAAAACTTGACGCCATTATCTTCAGTATCAAATATTTCTCGTCTTTTATTTTCTTTCTCAGAAATGTTTCTCATACAAATTCCCGGGTTTTCATTTCTTTAATTTCTTTTGCTTTCCAATATTTTTAAAAGTCATTTGTTCCTTTCTTTTTTTTCTTTTTTTTTTTTTTTCGTTTTTATTTTATAATGTGTTCTCGTGGGTCTCTCCGTTTGACATTCAAGTATTCTAAATCATCCTTTAGTTTAATCGATTCATTTTTGCGTCCCCTTTTTCGATTAAAACGCGTAATGTGTGACTAGAACACAATAAATGTATGAAATCAGAAACACACTTCAACAGCCACACGCCCATCACCCGGAGACAAAACACTTGACAAATTCAAGCATCCCCCCACCATTCGTTCCAAACTCATATCTAAAAGTTTCTCATCTATTTAGCTTCGGTTTTGATCGTTCTAAATTTTTCACGAATCATTTCATCTTCATAAATTTTATTTTTTAGTCAGTAACACTTTTTTATCAAAAAAAAAAAAAAAAATATAGGAGATCAGAAAACAACACGTAATCTATTCTCTTTTTTTTTTCTTAACTTCTGTTCAAGTCAAATCTCTGAATGTGTGAATTTTTTTTTTATTAATTAATTTATTTTATTTTCCTATCGATTTTCTGAATAAGATCAGGCGCAAGCCTGCCAGTGTTGCGCATGCGCATATATGTGTGTGTTTGGACTGCGCATGCTTATGTTTATTTACAACCGTAGGCCTTTGTGCCACCGCCAATTAGTTTAGAAAGTTGTTGTTTGTTCACATGAAAAGTGCGTATTTGCTTGCTCTTAAGTATTTGTTTTACGCCTTCGTTTGGCCGGGCATTCTTCAGCACTGGCCTTTCTCTTCCTGCCTTTTACCCGATGCGCTTCGTTTCAATAGCAAGAATGTTTACCTTACTGCCATTTCCTCCTCCTTCTCCTCCTTCTTCACAAAGAAACTCTCTGGCTCCAATGACATAAAGCCCAAGAAGTCAGTCGAATCGAATTGACTGCAAAGAACCTGAACAAATTTTCATCAGGCGAGTCTCACACCAACAAATTCGATGACATTTATACCGGTAGTTTAGATACAGTAAAAAACAAAACAAAAAACAAATAAATAAATAAAATAAAAAATAAAAAACACATAAAATATTTCTTTAACAATAAAAATTCGTTTTATAATGTTTAAATATAAATGTAAATAAATATAATATAAATTCTAAATATATCTTTCCTTAAAAAAAATACCCTGCTGTTTCATAGTAACTCTAAAATAGCCTACCTAGGGTACTCCCGGTGTTCATCTTGAGGTCCACGACAAAATCCAGAAACGGATATGCCACGTGATTAGTCCTGATCTGGCATCTCGTCTATAATCACTTTCTCACGGACGTGCTGTGGCTTCTCTCTGTCTTCTTTTCTACAAGTATTTTCATGGCAACTGCTCTGACGAGCTACTATCACTGGTTCTCAAACTGCATGAATTTAAGCGTGCTACTAGGTTGGCATGTCGGTCCCACTGTCAAAATGGGTAAATGTACCCATCCCTTCTATTCTAACAGCTTCTTAGATCGCATTTCCCGTCAGTATAACTCGTTTCCTATCATTTGCTTCCCTGTTAGCTTTAATCTTCAAATATTCAAATGTAATGTCAATCGACATCTTTGGATGTCGTGACCTTGATGCCCGTTCTTCTCTTTATCCTTTTCCCAAACACTCCTCTTTAATCTTGCTCTCTGTAACTCCTTGCGTGCTAGTGGCACTTCCGCCTTGCTTGGAGTGATTTGCTTAAAAAAATGGAACCTCGGTCTTCTTTGGAACCTCAAACGTTTAGCCTAGTGTAATTTCCACATAGCAGTTTATACACGCAATGGTTTGATTAACCCGTTTCTATACAGAAAACATTAGGTATTCATTGGTCGAATTGTTAGCGTTACTGTTCGTTGAAATGTATAAAATCTTTCTCTTTAAAAAGTTTTGCATGTGATAGCGCTAAATATTATTGTTCTTTCTAGTACTGAGGGTCGTTTTCTTCCTAACATTTTGTTCTTGGCATTGGGGAAACTTAACATTAAAGGGTGTTCCAATAACTTGGACCGATTTTAAATGTTAATTAAGTTTAAGCGTCTAATGATTTTTTTCTTTTTCTTTCAGATTTGGCGGACATTTGGGCAATATTATTTTTCACACATAATTGCCATGACTTAATGAACATGATCCAATAGAGAAATAAATAAATATTCACCAATAAGCCTGATTTATTTACTGCTGACTTTGATCCGTCTTAATGAAACACCCTTATATATAATCCATCTTAATGAAACACCTTTTATAATTATTTTAGTTCTGCTTCACACTGCCCGGTCTTTTAAACAAGACTTGTCCCTTGTTCCCTGTTTAGGATTGATCTTCTGGCTCATTCTACTTCGACTCTATGCTTTTAACGCTTGTCTTTTTTTTTATGCTAATACAACCCCACACAGTAACACTCTACCTTGAGTGGCTCTAGGGCTTTTTATTGGGTGGTCATTATTAAAAAAAAAACAAAAAAAAAACATCCATTTTCTGCTGTTGTAGCTGATGGAAGTTTTCAAGTGATGTGGTTTTTGTCATTTGTAAAAGTTCTTTGTTTATGATTCCGTAGCACCAGTTTATAAGATCTTCTTTAAGACTTGAAAAATTCATTCGTTTGTAGACATTTTTAATTTTTAATTCTTAATCAATGATCTGAGTGACCTCTTGTGTAGAAATCATAGTCTAGTTATTTCTGAAGAAGTTGGACGCCATGCATCACCAGTAGATGCCTTGTTATGTTCTCCTTAATCTTGCCCACGATTTAAAATCTTCCTCCTTTCAATGGTGACAGCTCGAAGTACCAGTGAGCTAAATCTATTCTGTACCGGTGAAACTGACAGACTTGGGTGAAGCAATGCTTTAGCAAAACTAGAAAAAAAGAAAAAGAAAAAAGAAAAACTAATCTGATACTGGTTTGTTAACTATTGTTCCACAGCAAGGCACTCTAATTACTAAACTAAGTTGTGTAGGGCATCCACTAGAGATTAATATAGTTAAAGGCTGCGAGACTGACATGTTAATCTTTATTTGATCAGTGAGAAAGGTTTTAATTTAGAGGTCACGTTCATAAATAACTCTACTCTGTTTACACACTTTACATTCCATCCATCTAACCAGCATAAATAAATATCTAAATATTGTGACCAAGTAATGGTTAAGAAATAACAAAACAAGAGGTTGTAGATAATTAGTGTATTGAACAGTAAATACAACAGAAGTGTGTTACACGACTTGGGAGTGTTTGTCATTTGACCAGCGTTCAGTCTATATCACCGTTAATATTTAACAGCCTCCCTACGAGGGATATATGTGGCACAAGGCCGAGTTTAACGTGGGTCATCCGAGACAGTAGGCTCGGCCAAAAAAATCACCGTAGAACCCACATAAACATGTCTGGGACTGCCTACCTCCCCGGACGAAACTATGCCCTCCGGCACAGCATTGTTCGGGTTCTTCTCTCCTCAAGGCAGATAGTTCGACAGGAGCTGTGAACAGTCGTAGCCTCGGTAGAACATTCTATCACTGTTAATATTTAACAGCGCCCTCCCCACGAAGGATGTATGTTGCACAAGGCTGAGTTTACCATGGGTTCTCCGAGACCGTAGGATCGGCCAAAAATATTCCCGTAGAACCCGTATAAACGGGTTCACGGTCTGTCTACATCCCCGGACGAAACTCTGCCCTTCGGCATAGTCTCGTCCGGGTTCCTCTCTGCCAAAGACAGTTGAACAGTCTGTCACTGTTTCCCCGGGGCTTACTTTCCTACTATTTTTATAGGAAGTGGAAGAGTCCACAATAGCCTCATTAGAGGGAAGACACCACAACACTAAACATCAAAGATAAACAACTATAAATAACCTTAAGAATTTTTTCTAGACAAAAGAAGGGATAGTCCCCACCCCACATCCATTAATCCTGTTGTGATCTATATACCAAGCCTGCTAAAATAGTTGTGGCATTTAGCCTGACGATCGCTCAGAAGAGAGAGAGAGAGAGAGAGAGAGAGAGAGAGAGAGAGAGAGAGAGAGAGAAGAAAGAGAGACAGAAGAGAGAGAGTGTTCTTGTGTGTCTCTCTCTCTCTCTCTGTGTATAAGAGAGAGAGAGAGAGAGAGAGAGGGGGGGTACAAACATTTTTTCTACCGCTGTAGTTATGTGCCTTTGTCGGATTTCAGAAAGAACAAGAAATATTAGAGAATAATTTTATTTGTTACGCGATTTAAGAAATCTTTGACAAGATTTGAATCCAAGGACCATTTTAAGGTGATTAGATTACAACAGACATAAAGGTTTTCTGTCTTCTTCATCCGTCTACGTCTGTCTCTACATCTCTTCTTAAATTTAACCATGACTCCGAATCCAACTGTAACTCTGACTGCCGCTACATTTTGACGGGTGGGGGGGGCTTCTTACTGGCCTTTTTCTAAATGGGACCCGACTATATGATCGGATTTTCATATTTCCCAACCGAATGGCACTCGATCCCGAAAGTTTATATTATTTATTCATTCATAAAATGAATTTCATTTTCCCCTAATTCTAGATAGCTGGTGGTTACTTTGAAATTTACAAATTTTGATTTTACTCGCACTGTAGTCTGTCGTTATAAAACTAGCCTTATATAAAATCACGAGGATTTCAGAAACTTAGTTTTTATATTTTATATTAAAATTTTAATATTTTATATTATGGCCTATTTGTTAAAACAAAAGGCATTAGCACCACGAAGATATTTTGACTCTCAAGATATTTTCTTATACCTTCGAGTTATTAAATGCTACCAACCCAGGACGAGGCAATATAACAGTGGGAGACACTGTAGCCAATTTTGTCAAGTGCTTGAATTATATTTAAATAATCACTAGTTCAACACATTGGTAAAGCAAGAGCTCACAATTTACTTCTTGATATTTACTGGATTGACACCAAACCGTGATTTGTCGTTAGGTGGCATTAGGAATGTTTAGTTTTGAGTAACTTTAGTCAAAGTGATCGCATTTGATTATATTATAATAGTTATTTTATCAACGTGTATTTTTTTAATTGTCAAAATGATTGAAGAACTCTAATCTGACTGCTAATCCAGGTATAGCCTTTGTAGCCCGACTGGTGTTGAGATCAACCTGAAAAACTGTCCGACTCCGCCATAAGTTCAGTAATTTTCCAAATGTTAGTGTAATGCTGACTACATAGGTATAATGGCTCAAAGGTTAGAAGGAAGTATTAATTAGCACGTACCAGCCAATATTCGTAAGAGGAATTTGTATAATCTGCTAAGGTGCGTTAACACAACTGGGTCGGCGATAGTTGAACATTAATTAAACAACAATTAATGTGGCCATTCCAACCATATGAAGGTGTTGGAGTGTATCTATATTAAGTCACACCAGCCATTTGTCTGCAAACAGAAGGCGTGGGTGTTAGATTTAAATGTGATTGGCCTTTAATTGTTACGTGGATAGACTGAAAAGTTCATAAACTCACCAAGATGCTCTTATAAAATGTTATCTAATGAGGTTTATTTTTCAAGACAGTACCCCCGCTTTTAGCTCTCACAAATATTCCATTGGTGCTACTGTGGATCCAATTCCATTAGTGAAGAAGCTTTCGTCCTATTGGTCAAAAAAGTCATCAACAACAAATATGACGACATTATCACTGGTTTCCAATCAGGTGTTTTTTTCATATTAGGGAACAGAGCCAAGTCAGAAGAATAGGGTGAATGATGAACCAGCAACAGTCACCCGAAGCAGCCACTGAAACCATGGATTTGTGTGTTATCCTGATGAAACAATGCATCTTCATCAGTTCTTCTCGGAATTTGACCATGATAGCTTTTGGTAACCGCCTCAGCAGGTTGGCATAGTACTCTCCATTGACGATGTAGCCCTTTTGAAGATAGTCAATAAACGCAATACCTTTGCATCACCCAAAACTCATGTGTCATCACATATTCTGCATCTGAAATGACATTGACCTTTTTTGGAGCAGGCGAGGGGGTTGTTTCCACTGCATGGATTGTCCCTTTCTCTCTGGCTCAAAGCGATGAACCCAACACCCATCCCGGGTTAGGAAGGTTAAGATTAGGAAGCTGGATCTGCCTCAAACGATGACAGATTTTTCCGTGATGTGATCAGTCTGGTACGCTTTTGATCAAGTGTCATAAGACGTAGAACTCGCTGAGCAGAAACCTTCGTCATGCCAAGTTCATTATGCAGAATATTCTCAACTCTCTCACAGGATATGCTAATAGCCTTGGCTATTTGATTTATAATCAGTCGTCTGTGATCCATAAACATTTCATGAAGATCATTCATGTTTTACTTGGTGGTGTCAGTTGCAGGACGTCCAGCCCTTAGGTCATATTTAACTCTCCCTACTCCTCCTAATTTCAGCTTCCTATATTTGCACTTTTGACAAAACTGGATGCCAAATTTTGTCCATTTTCAAGAGAAGTCGCTACTAGTCACTATTGAAGTATTCTTTGCTCAGATTTCAGTTTACCTGGATAGAAATAACGAAATTATTAATAAGAAGAATTAATACAGACAAGATTTTATAGCTCTTGCATCATCCCTTCATAGTCAGACTATGAACTTTTCAGCTAACCCTCGTATATATTTATTATGTAACATCATCTCTTGTGTTTATTTCAGTGGCTGCTCAAGTTTCCCGTCCTTGATTAAGCTTCCTTAGTTTAAAATACTTTTTGGATGATTGCTTTTGGCATTCCTGTATTTACTACGTTATATTTGTTACATATCTTTTTAGTTATGTTTTTATTTTAAGACATTTTTATGTTTATAAGTTCTTTTTATAGATACAAATACTTAAGTAAATGCTCTGTTTATAATAAACAGTATTAAATAACATTTACCGGTCTGCATGTCCGAGAAATTTTCATAGAATATATGCGTCCTCCGACAGGAATCGAACCTGTATCCTATACGGAACCGTCATATAACCTGACCTGCCTTAACCGATTGGGCCATAGAGGAGCGTTCGGTTAGCAAGGACGATTTTACTGCTTTTAAACTACAATCTTCCATGAATCTCTCACGTACATTCATATCTGCTCAATGCGTATCCAAATGTAAACAAATGTCGTCACATATTATGAAATGGACAAAGTTCGACAATTATTTTAAGACATTTTTATGTTTATACATTCTTTTTATAGATATAAATATTTAAGTTCCGTATAGGTTCTGTATAGGATACAGGTTCGATACCTGTCGGAGGACGAATATTTTCTATGAAAATTTCTCGGTCATTCAGGCCGGTAAATGTTGTTTAATGCCGTTTATTATAAAACAGAGCATTTACTTAAATATTTGTATCTATAAAAAGAATGTTAAACATAAAAATGTCTTAAAATAATTGTCAGACTTTGTCCATTTCATAGTGTGTGACATCAATGTTTTTATCATGTCTGTTTTTATTGCTATTATTAAAATTTGTACCCCTGCTAAAATATTTCAACATTGAATACCGAATGAGATATGCAATATTTTTAGAATGTTCTTTTTTATTTTAAGAAACGCTACAGATGTAACCTTGTATTCGTTTCTTAAGCGGATGCTCATGAAGCACCCAAATTCCCTCTTTGCTATGTGGTTCCAATTAAACACTAAAATGCAAGATAAACAACACATTGTCGTATAGATGAGAGAAACAAATTCTTGACGCAGTTTCGTACCATTGGTTCAAATTTGGTTAGTTGGTTTACGCTTAATTCATAGCGTTGAAATATATAATATTTGGTAACAACCAAATTCTTGACGCAGTTTCCTACCACATAACTTTGGTTCTTTTTTTTTTTTAAAAAGAAATCAGTTAACCTCAAGCAAGGCAATAATGCCACTAAGATGCAAGGGGTTACCTGGAGTGCAAGTATGTAATAGTGAGTTCCACAGGTCAGAAGGGCGAGAAAAGAAACTATAGAACTTTCGGTTAGACGTAGCTATTTTCAACAGTAAAACTATTAGACCTTCTTACCAATGTAGTAGTATGCTTAAATTCATACGGCCGACGCACGAACGAGGAGAGTTATTTGGACAATTTCCATGAAAATGTTTATAGAAAAAAAAGAGTGAAGACACATCACGCTTGTGGGAGACTGACTGAAGTCGAGATCTCGAGATATATAGAAGGAGCACAAGACTAGATATGGCAGCAATATTCAATGCATAGATGAATGGTATATCTATAAATGTGTAAGATGGTGTCTGACGATAAAAAGTTTGTGGTTTGACACAGTGAAGCAATTTTCCTAGCAGTACTCCACTTTATGTCAGAGGAAAATGTGAGACCAAGAAGGCGCAATGAGTCGCTCTTCTGAAGGTTAGCATCAGCCATATTGATGGAAGGTAAAATGGTTCTTTATGATGACTAAAAGATAGCAGTTTCATTTTTGGAGGGGTTAGAGGTTATAAGACATTTCTTGCTCCAGTTAACAACTAATTGGAGATAATTTTCGAGATCAGCTGATAAGTTTACTGAAGCAGGAGTAAATAATTATGTCTTCAGCGTAAATACATAATTAGGAACTGATAATGCTGAGAGGGTCGTTGTTGCAGACAAGAAACAATGTAGGTCCCAAGATAGAGCCCTTGTGAAATTGAATTAATGCAAAATACTTTAGACGCGTGGCCGTTGAATATGACCTTCATCATACAATTTAAGAATGATTGGATTGTCAAATATTCAGCCAGAGACATCATAGCTTGTGAATGTCAGCGTGTCAAACCCTTTCAATCGTCTTCAAGATATTTAAAGCCACAGGCCGAGCCTAGCCATTCTTATTTAAAGCTTGATTTTCAATTTCAGTTTTAGCCGTTAACATATCGGCGGTTGACAGAGAAGGGAAAGCCATATTGTTTATCTGAAAGAATGCCGTGTGAAGTGAGAAGCCTAACTAATTCTGAGTTGACTAAAGCCTCTAGTATTTTGCCAAAAAAAAGGTAAAAGACTAATGAAACAATGGTTCGAGGATCACCAGAGTTCTTAAAGACAGGAAGTACAGAAGATAATTTTCATAAGCTGGAATGCAAGAAGCAGAAAGGTATTTGTTATAGTCTGGAGAAAAAATGATCCATTTACAGGAACACATTTCCTTAGGACAGTTTCGGGGATACCGTCAATTCTGACTTGACTGGT